AGGAGAGACAGGTCTTTAGAGAGGGATATCATGCTGGGTAGAGTAGAGGGACAGCGCAGGAGGGGAAGACCCTCTATGAGGTGGATTGATTCAGTGACTTGGGTACTCGGGATGGGTGTGCCAGAGGCAATGAGATTGGCACGGGATAGAGCAGGTTTTAGGGCTGTTGTACATAGGGTTGCTATGAGTCGCAGATGACTCGACGGCACATAACAACAACAACAACAACATGTAAAGAAGAGTTGGAAAACCAAAAGGGCTAAACTCATTCTGCATTCCTTAAGCTGAAAGAACTGAAGAACAAACCCAGGAAGCCTTAACAGAAGATGCAAGTAGTGCACAGTCATTGTACCAAAAACAATCGGCTGACACAGGAGAATTTCATGAAACAACATATGATCAAGAGGCAATGGTGAGGAAAGAGGAAGTTCAAGCTACTCTGAATTAGTAGGCAAAAAACAAGACCTCAGAAATTGATGGAATACCAACTGGCATATTTCATCAGAAAGATGCAGTCCTGGATGTGCTGACCAAGTTGTGCTAAGAACTTTGCAGAGTGTTATAGCTGACAAATTCTCTGTATAACTACCCTGTATGGTTTGCAAAAATTGTAGATTGTTGTTGTGTACCCTAGAGTTGATTACAACTCATACTGACTGTTAGATAGAAAAAAGAGTGTGACGGTGAGGGAGAGAAAGAAAGAAAGAAACTGGACCCAAGAAACGAACAGTCCTTTATTGCACAGTCTGAGAGGGATGCTAAGGGACCTGGCCACACAACACATGGAAAGGATCAAAATGACATGCAGTCAGTTTTGGGGGATATCTTCTTATCTTAGTCTTGGGGGACTAAGGGAGATGGTATTTCTCTAAATTTGAGGTGTTAATTAAGTTATGTCTGGGCTATTTGGACCAGGCTCAGAGCCTTCTCAGGATCCATTGTCTAATCTGGTCTTTGATATGACCAGCTTAGATGTTACCAGGTTTCTCAGGAAGTGGTCAAACCTTGGTGTGCGGGGGTGGGGTGGGGTGGGGATGTT